TAAACGGCTTATATCGCGATTTTCTTCAGTAATAACCGGTGTCTCGTATTCAGCTATTTCTTTGGAGTATTTCAAAAAAGATTATCTGATTTGCTGCTCTATGGGAAAAGTAACCAAAAAGTCCGTTTAAAGTGATCCACAGTTTTCCACAGGGCATAGAGGTTCAGGTTGTGGAGTAGCTTCATATCTTAAAATAAAATAGGTTGTTAGTGTGCTGTCATTATTGAACAAGAAGACGACATACCCATAATAGAAAAGGTTTGCCTATGGTGAAAACATTCAACATTTTCATAAAGTCTTCCAAACCTCCTTGGGTAAGCTTGTGCCTTATGTAAAAATTCAGTGCCATAAACATTGTGTTTTTACACGAATGTTGTCATGAAATTTTGCCGATTGATCGTAACTCGAAGACTCCTGAAAAAAGATAGGGTGTTCTCAGTCTTGTCTACACGGCGAATGAGAACGACCCAAATTTGAGTTTAGTTCACTCATAATCGCCAAAAGTGCAGGAACTCAGCGATGAGTAAATTTGCTTCATGTTTTCCTAGGTTTTTCCAGGATTTTCCAGGGAAAAATTCCCGGATTTGAGAAAAGTAAAGATTGAATTCACTCAGTCTATTGGTACTACTCCGAGACTGAATAAAATTTTCGTCAATTTCCTTATTTTTCGGCAGATTTTTTAGGTTTTCCACAGGAAACCATGAGACAAATTTTACTCATCGCTGAGTTCCTGCACTTTTGGCGATTATGAGTGAACTAAACTCAAATTTGAGTCGTTCTCATTCGCCGTGTACCTTGAATTAATAAGATAATAAATACAGATCTGGAACATCATTCATCGTATCCTACGAAGAATTCTGCTTGTATAAAATCTTTCGATTTTTCCGATTCGTCATCAGAAAACTCTACCGACCGCGATCCGAAATAGATTGGCAGCCTACTGCTTCTGAACCAGATGATGAATTAAATTCCATCACCATATGAATCTCATGATTTGATGGAAGATCCTCTAACAATCCATGTGGAAGACCACGAATGATGGAAACCAAGCCATTCATTCATTCAGAATTACTAAAACAACCTTTTTACCCTTCTTACAAAGAAGGGTATAGATATCACTTGAAAAACCGACTATCGATCCGAGGCCCGGAGGGCCGAGTGTCATATACCATTCGACTCAGCTCGACGAGATAGGAACATGTCTGTGTGTGTGTGTGTGTGTGTGTGTGTGTGTATGTGTGTGTGTGTGTGTGTATGTGTGTGTGTATGTAACGAAATGAATGCGCTCACGTTTCTCAGCAACCGCTCAACCGATTTGGACAAACTCGGCGCCAAATGATAGGTCTTGGGGTCCCATTGAACGCTATTGAACGGTTTTGGAATCGGTGAACCGGTTCCGGAGATATGGCCGGAATAAGATCCGGTGAATATAGGCCTTCACGCTGGATTTAACGGAAAACGTATTAAAACCATCATGCGACACATCACATTACTACAGAATTCAAAAATAAGATCAATGCAAGTCGTGTTAACTGTTCCAGACCACATCGGACACACTTGGACATGTTCCGGGTACCCCGGGGAAGTTGCTTGAATATGAATTGAATTAAAACCCATTAAATCACATTAAAATACGATGATAAGGTGATTGGTAGCCTCACCAAATAGACTACACCCGGATGTATTCCGGGTAGCCCCAGGCAGTGGCGTAGCGTCACTGGATGACATGGGGGTGGGGGGCTTGGTCACTGATAATGACAATAAAATAAAAAATAAAATAAACTTGAATAAGTAAGAAGGGTCTGATCACACCATAGGTGGATAAATTCGGGTTTTTTTCGCTCAGATCGGTTGTTGGAACTCCGCATTTATCGGGGAGACAAACCAGCTGCTTTAAAATCTTTGGCTGCACCACACATTATGGAACGAATTCTGGCATATCATGGAAAAATAAGCCAGGAAAACGACTCTTAATTAATTAAAATGACGTACAATTGATGAATTCCAATTAATTATTTGACTTAGATTAAAAAAAAAAGTGAAAAATAAATGACATAACCATTGCCAGAAATATGGCAAATTTTATATCTAATTTATAACAACGGTTGTTATATATGTATATTTTTGAATGCGATAAATTATATCTAATTTTGTAATAATTTTGATATAATCATATCAAGATCTGTTGTAATTTTGTTACCACTAGACGAATTTTTGTTATGATTTTTGTTATTTCAACAACTAACCAGCCAACGTTTATAACACGTTCTGTTACATATGGTTACAAATATTTAAAAAAAAACAGTTGAAATAGATGTTGTTTAGCTGTACGAAGAAAACTTGACAATCAAGACGTCACGAAAAGGAAATATAGTTGAACCAAAATAAAGGCACAATGATCCCAAAGACGTATTTAGGAAAAAAAATAGTTTGCGCCCAAATCGTCAGTTTTAGATATATGGTTTCTTAGGGAAAATGCTTCATATTATTTGTTCAATCTTTTTATGTTCGTTAAATTAGGGTGGTCCATTCAATTGGTGAATTAAAATACAAACTTTTTATTATCAGAGATATACCAAAGTTGTTCTAAACAGTTGTAGAACAAACAATTCAAAGCAACTTTGTTGAAGACACAACGTTTTATCTCTTACGGTTCATGAGTTATGATTTTTTTTTAAACAATCTCGTTAGGGTGGTCACTAAAATCGGTTTGCTTTGAATATCTTTCCATGCGTTAATTTCTCGTAAAAACATTGTTCTGATTACATTTAGAACTTTTCATGACGCATATTTTTGCTCAAGCAACTAGGTTACTATCTTTTTTTATTAGAAAGTTAAAAGCTATTTTCTTCGAAAAAATTGCTTTTTTCAATTGTCAATATCTCAAAATGGAGCAAACCGATTTTGAAACATTTAATTTCATTGGAAGCATCTTTTTCTTCATTTTTGGTAAAAAATAAACTGCAAGAGCCTTTTCTGTTGAAAGCTTTTAATTTAATTAAAAAAAGTAATATTTTTCAGCAAAAACTAGCCATAAATTTTCAAATAAAAGATATAACAACTTTGCAAAAATATGCGTCATAAAAAGTTCTTAACGTTTTTGGTTCAAAAATGCGTTTATTTTTCCAGGCTCATTTGCTGTAGCTTTGCGGAACCAATATTCATTGTTTAGATAACAAAATTACTTAAGACTAACGTTAGTAAAGCAAAGGCTGATTACTCGCGGCTATCTCGAAGTTAGGAGTAACAAATTTAAAAATGAAACTACAATGTGTTGAATCGAAACCTACCCAACTAATAAAAACCAAAGATTTAAGTAAGCTAAAGGAGATTTTTTTTTTTGCTTTATTAGAGAGATTTTCAGCCTTGGGCTGGTTCATCTCTTAAAGGAGAAAAATCTATACAACTCTCTAATAAGGAAATGGAGTTGGAGAAATGGAAGATAACCTTTTTTGCTGTTTTATTTAGCATTCCGCTAACAACTTCATTACTTCATTATGATGGCTACCAAGCCTTTGGGGATTTTCCTTATTAGAGAGTTGTATAGATTTTTCTCCTTTAGCTTACTTAAATCTTTGGTTTTTATTAGTTAGGTAGGTTCCGATTCAAGATCAAGATCATAGGTATAAAAATGAAACTACAATGTGTTGAATCGGAACCTACCTAACTAATAAAAACGAAGATTTTGATAAGTTCTTTAGTGGGAATGACACTGATGAAGACTGCACATTGTAGTCGAAATACGTATCTGTCATGGATACCAAAATTAATTAAGTGGAATTAAATGGAAGATAACCTTTTTTATGCTGTTTTAACTTTTCTAGCTATCTTTTAATTACTAAAGGATAGTGGGCGGATGTGTCCGTCATATGTTTGGCTTAGTCTAAGTGTGAAAAAAAGTATATTTTTGCTAATTTTGTAATAAAAACTGTCCCTGTGTTTTAACCGTTTTTTTACCATCAATTTGACATGAAATAAACCGAGGAACATTTCTTCTGAAGCAACCAAGTGGATAAATACATTATTTTTTGTTATATTTGCCGTTGGCTGGTTCATCACAAAAATACAAGCTATATTTACTGATCGGTTAACACTCCGAGCACGATGCCTCCGCTAAAATGTGCAACGGCATATTTACAATGTTTGAAAAATCAAAGCACAGCCATTTATTGGCCAATTACAAATCTGTTGGAGCCATTTGAAACTACAGACTTTATAGTTTCATTCGGTATCAAATTCATTTAAAATCTATCGATAAATTGCTGAGCAATAATTTTCAAACATTTCCAATTTTCCGATACACATTTTACGAGAGGCATCGTGTTCGGAGTGTTAATATCAACCCACGCATTCATGAACTATATTCATCAATTCTGGTGCTCAGTTGGTCATAATAACGATTTCTTACGGTACTATACAAAAAAAAACATTAAATAAGGCCAATGTTGCAATCGCAAGGAAAGTCCCAACTAGGTCGTAAGTAACAGATTTAAACACAAAAAAACGACGAAACATACCACTTTCACATGTTGCAACATTTTCTGTTTAAATGTAACGTAAATGGTCTACAATCACTGTCGTCAATTGATCGTGATGTTTTTTTTTGCGATCTAATTCCCATTGCCCACTCAAAGTTACGAAACCTTCGCATTTGACCAAACACCGGAACGTGCCAGTTCCGCCTGCCAGATGTTCACATCACACGTTTGGGTTTCCCTGAGGTGTAAAAGCTGCACCACCACACCAGCAGAGCGAAAGATACGATGGATCGGATCGGAACTGCATCACAGCTCTGCTGATAGCAGCCGGTGGTGAACATAACTATCGTGTGGTTTGTTTTTTGTCCAGTTTGGAAAATTAGATCCGGGTTTGGGTTGAAAATTAAAGTTCAATCTTGCCCTGTTTGAGTGACACGACTGACTCGTAACTGAAGATGTAAATCAATTATTTGTGTATTGCCTTGGTTGCTAATTAGGTATTCGTATTTCTTCTCGTTTCAGCTCTTCAAAGTTCATGAACTTTTTGCATAAGTTGCAAAATCGCGACTGCGTAAAAAGCAAAACCAGCGATGGAATAATGTAAACATTTCTTGTCGTTAAACACGCACAAAAAAAAACGTCCAAATATTCATTAGCTCTAAACCTGTCCACATCTGTGGCGGTGATCAATAACAACGCAAAGTTAAGTGACCGGTGCAAATAAGCGACGAACCCGTCAAACTAGGAAACACTGTCTACCATACTGACGCACGCTCGTAATAATTACACACGATGCCAGCCTATGCCGGATTTGATAGCTTTGCGTCCTCGCGCAGGACCGCTGAATCGATCTACTACTCGGCGAAGGAGTTCGATTCGGCCGACGAGTCGGACTGTATGCGGCCACTACCGATGCAAATGTCGCGGCGACCCAGCCTGATGGAATCGCTCGGACCGGTCGACGCGATCTTCAGCCGGCGTTATGTCGATCCATGGGATATGGAGAACTACATCTACGTCAGGAAGTGAGTACCTATTACCCATTTATGCAAAATTTCTCTGAAATTGTCCCCAAATAACAGTCGTTATTGCCAATGTATCCAGTGCTTATGTACCTAAACACACTGACTTCAATTCGTTGCTGCTATTATACCTCCAAAACGATTTGCCATTTTCTCCGTTTATGTTTGTTATGCCTCAAACAACGCCACCGTTTAACTAATTACCTTGATTTGCATATTTCTTTGTTTGGCTGCCCCACCCCGCTCCGCCCGGTCATCATTACTGCTAAACGTTCCGCTCTCTGTGTACCTCATGCAGATTCAAACGACTTGCACTGCAGCTATAGCGTCCTTGACTCTTGTCGCTAGAGTTGCCATTGCTACATATCTCACGCTTTAATAGCTGGCGGTTCCCGAGTAGAAGCGAATATCAAACCAATAGAAAAAAGAATATCAGAACATGGAAATATGAGTTAAAATAATAACTGAAAAGCTATAGGACAAGCGGCGCCGGTGGTGTAGTGGTAAACGTGATAACATCTCACGCCCAAAGGCCTGGGTTCAATCCCCAGTAAAGCCGTTGGTTCCCGGTCCATACCCCTCACCATCCCTCTCCAACTGGGGAGTGGTAGTATTTGAAATTATCATCTTCAATTACATGTTACCATGCTTCTGCGTTAATTTTCCTTCAGATGTCACTGATGTTTTTAATGGTGAAATCGATCAGAAATTACGCATACACTTAGTTCCATTAATTGTTAACAGAGGGCAGTGTGGTCAAAACATGTCTGGAACCTCTATACATCCAGTCAGATTCTAATTTGAAGTCCCTCCTTTCTTACGTATTCTGCGCAAAAATTTATGTTGCTATCGGCTTCTGATGACATCGACGATGGAACTCGGCATTCGAGATCCAGTTGTGAGGCCACCAGGCACGAATTATATACCGCAGGCATCGGTTGATGAAGACCTGCAGCTTTTGAGTGTTCTCCGCTGATACACACCACGTCTCGCTGGCGTATAACAACACAGATTTCACGTTCGAGTTGAAAATTCGGATTTTGGTGCTTTGACTTATCTGGTTGGATCTCCATACGTTTCGTAAACTCGCAAAGGCAGCCCTAGCCTTCTTGATTCGTGCACCTATGTCGCTCTTGGTCCCGCCGTCCGACGCTATTTGGCTGCCAAGATATTGGCAACTTTCGACCTTCTCCACTGCTAGCCCCGCTACCGTAAAGGTGGAAGGGTTGCCCGTGTTGATATCCAACGATTTGGTCTTATTGACGTTGATGGTGAGACCCGCCGCAGAGGAGCGTTCGGCTAGGTCATTGAGCTTACTCTGCATATCAGAGCGCCGTTGTGCTAGTAGAGCAACATCATCAGCCAAATCGAAGTCGTTGAGATGCTCCATGGTGATAGGCTGCCAAAGCAGCCCACGGTTCGGTACACGGTCAATTGCACCTACCATGATCTCGTCGATAACGATGAGAAACAGTAGCGGTGATAGTATACATCCTTGTCTCACACCAGCGACTACCCGGATAGGGTCGGACAAGGCTCCGTTATGCAGAACTCTGCACGTGAAAGCCTCATACTGCGCTTCCCACAGATTCTCGTGATTGAGACGGTCGAAAGCTTTTTCGTAGTCAATGGATACCAAATAAAGGGACTCTTGGAATTCATTGACCTGCTCCAGGATGATGCGGAGCGTGACAATATGGTCCACACAAGATCTTCCGGCACGGAATCCTGCATGCTGCCGTCGGAGAATCGCGTCGAACTTCTCCTGTATCCGATTCAGGATAACTTTGCACAGAACTTTGAGAACAATACACAGTAAAATGATGCCTCACCAATTGTCGCACACAGTCAGATCCCCCTTCTTTGGGACCTTTACTAAGATGCCCTGCATCCAGTCGGCCGGAAAAGTCGCGGTGTCCCAGATATTACAGAATAGTTGATGCAACATTTGTGCGGATAACATGGGGTCAGCTTTGAGCATCTCTGCTGATATGCGATTGACCCCTAGAGCCTTGTTGGATTTCATGCTTCGGATAGCTGCTTCAATCTCCTGCAGTGATGGGGCCTCGGAATTGACGCGAGTGATGCGCCGCACCCTAGGCGGATCATGCCAAAATTTTGATGGCTGGTTGGTCGTCGAAACTTGAAGAAGTTGTTCGAAGTGCTCAAACCAGCGTTTCAGCTGGTCAGTGGGGTCGGTGAGCAATTTTTTTTTTTTTTTTTTATCTTTATTAAGGAGACTTTCAGCCGTTGGCTGGCTCGTCTCCGAATACCCCAGAGGGGGGTATTCCTAGGAGAAAAGGGGGTTTACAGAGTTTTTAGAATGTACAGAGTTTTGGTTTTTGAAACTTATGTTTCCTGTATCAGCTAGCTGTCAAATTTTCATTTCAAAGGCTGTCTAAAGGACCCCGGTAGAGCCCCACCGGCAGAGGCTGCGGGTGGACCTGGCAGCTGCTACCGGCATGGGTTGCCGGGCCTGCTATCAAAATAGTATTTTTCGTGTTATAGTGACTAAATTCAGGACCCCGGTAGAGCCCCACCGGCAGAAACTGCCAGGTGACCCTGGCAGCCGCTGCCGGCAAGGTTGCCGGGCCTGCTATCAATATCGTATTTTAAATATTTTTGTAGATTCCTGCTTCCTTCGTAAAGCAGATGAGTTGGATTTCCGCTACCGGGTCGTTTTGGAGGACGTCCCGAATGTTGTCGGCCAGACCGTACAACTCCCGTGATCCGTGGAAACACGGGCAGTTGATAAGGATGTGCTCAACCGTCATCGTTGTTCGGCACGCGTCGCATCTCCTCCGGAAGCCTCCACCGCTGCTGCTTCCCATGTTGTGAGTAATCCGGGTGTGACCGGTTCGAAGTCTGGAGAGTATTCTCTGTTCCGCGTAACTTTTGGTGTCCGTCCCGTTTCCCCTTTGACCTTTCTAATGAAAAGCTCTTGGTTGCTGTTCCATTCGTTGCCCCATGCTGACCTGATGGTAGATTTTATCCAGACTTTCAGGTCTTGTCTGGGGACCGACTTGTGGGCAAGACGGCCGCTTCGTCCGGTGGCCGCGAGGTGGTCGGCTTCAATGTTACCGGCGATTCCGCAGTGGCCCGGTATCCACATGAAGGTGGTGCCGGGTTGTGTGTGCTTCTGGATGGCCTGAATCCACGGGTGGCGTGCAGTGGAAGATTCCAATGCAGCCAGAGCGCTGGCGGAGTCCGTGAGTATGCATAGAGGGGAGGAGGATGGTAGGGAGGCCGCGTAATGTAGGGCTGCTGCTACTGCTGAGAAGACCGAGCATTGGTCCGGGAGTTTCCAGAAATGGGATGTTCGGCCATCAGTTACTCCAAAACCTACTCGGCCCCTAGCGTTCGATCCGTCGGTGTATCGGAGTTGGTGGTTATGGTACATCGTTCTCAGTCGCTCGGTGAGGCAGGTTCTCATTTCCGCCGAGTTGTCCCCTGCTCTGAATCGGTTGGCCATGGTTCTATCTGATCGGATGAGGGAGGCATCCCACTCCCTGGCTCCGACCCAGTGGAGTTTAGACACCGGAGGGAGCTCCTGGTGGGCGGTCTCTTGAAGAATGCGTTTCCCCTCCGAGAGGAGATAGAAATCTCCGTCTCCGCTGAGTTGCTCGTCGAGTCCCACGGCTCTCGTACAAACCGACTCCGCAATGAAAAACCGGAACGGTAGTGTTCCGGTCTCAATGCATGCGGCGTCGGCTGGTGTTGATGGCAGTAGACCGGCTGCAATCCGAGTAGCCTGGTTGTATATCCTGGTGCAAGACGGGAGATGATGGAGTCGCTGGACGCGCATAGAAGTTCGATTCCATATGTCAGTCGGCTGTGGACGATGGATCTGGCGGTGTTCATCACAATACCTCGGTTGTTCACCTTGTGTGGACCGGATAGGGAGCGAAGGATGTTTAGTCTTGTTCGACAGTTGGCCTTGACCTGATTGAGGTGGGGGCCGAACCGGAAGTTTCGGTCAATCGTGACTCCTAGTATGGAGATGGATTTCCTCCTGGGGATTGCCTGCTTGTCGATCCTAATCGGGGTCGGTAGTGGCCGGTGACCATGCCGGCAGACATGGGAAACCGAGCTTTTCTCGGCTGATATCGCAAAGCCTGTCTTGGCGGCCCATCTACCAACCGCAGAGACCGCCGCCTGCAATTTTACCTTCATTGCTTTTAGAGTTTTCCCGACTACTAGGAGCAAGATGTCATCCGCATACCCCAGGATGTATATTTCCTTTGGCAGTCCCACAAAGATTCCGTTCATTGCCACCAAGAAGATGGTGACAGCAATTACGGAACCCTGTGGAACTCCAGTCTCCTCTCGCCTGGTGTTGGATCGATGATTACCGATGGTCACCTGGAATGTCCTGTCCTGTAGGTAATTCCTCAGGAAGTAGAGAATATTTCCTCCAAGACCCCATTTGGACAGTTGGTGTAGGGCTTGTGGTGTCCATGCCCTGTTGTAAGCCTTAGCCAGATCCAGGGAGGCCAACTCTACGTGTTGGTCCTTACGGAGTGCCTCCTGGACGATCTGGCCGAGGCTATTAAAATAGGTGCCGGTTCCGTGGCCAGGTCGAAAAGTGTGTTGCCGGTGGTCCAACAGGCTGTTCCCTTCGAGGAAGCCCGTCAGTCTTCGGTTAACCAAGCGCTCCATAATTTTGCTGCAACAGCTGGTCAGGGAGATCGGTCGGAAGTCCTTAGACAGTAATGCCGGTCCGGGGTTTTTCGGAATGGGTACGATTAGACTGTGTTTCCAGGTGTTCGGCATCTGGCGGTCAGTCCAGGCCTGGTTGAACAGTTCGAGGAGGGTCGCCTTTTGCGTGGGTGGGAGGTTCCTTATCATCGGGTATCAGACCTCATCCGGCCCGGCGGATTCGGTAAGCAATTGTCCAGTCGTGTCCTTCACTGGCATCATCCTTGGGTCATCCTTGCTCCACTGCAGAGTATAGTAGTACCTGTCCCGACGGCAGTTTGTGTTCTCCAAAGTTTGGCCAACGAACTTCACTCAGTCCCAGAATTTCTAGCTTCAAGTGTCCGTTGTTTTGCGCTAAAAGTCGTTGCCGTTAAATCAGTTCGATGTCTTTCTCTGTTGGTTTCTGTAACAATTGTAAAGGTTTCAGAGACAGTAGGTGGTTGGCCTAAGGTCTCCTATCCGCCGTGATGGGGCTGCCATCTTTGGTGTAGCTTCCGGGGAAGAGCATTTCTTATTCAGCCGCTGGATGCCAGTCAGACGCTGTTTGAGCCGCACCTCCATGGTGAACAGACGCTCGGTTTGGCGCTTTCCTCTATCACCGTGCTATGATTACCGCGCCAGCGTTCGCGTCGCACCTCCTCACTCTGCTATTGTCGGATTGACAACATTGCCCAGGCTACGCCAACCAGCTGTGTCCATGTTTCAGCTGGCAGTCTTTTGTGATCAAATGACTCGTGGAGGCGTGAGGTAGGAACTTGTGAGGACCGGAGCTAGGTATATCGCTGCTTCCAGATTGTCATTCACCATTTTGTAGCCCCATGTATAGAGGTACCAGACATATTTTGTAGTGACAGGTACTCTATTTTGTAGTCTGTGAGAGGGAAATCGAGTGTCATCAAAATACAAAGCATGTTTAGGATATTGAGCTCGTGAGAGCAAATTTTCTCACTCAAATTTGATTGTTTTGTTCTCTTGGGACTGCTAGTAAAGCGAATAAAACTGTATGGGGAAAATCATTTTTATTGAATTGTAGTTTGCTTAACAATAATTTCCGGAAATAAAATAAACGTCAATGAATGTTCTTCAGGCTGTCGTTCATTTTTTTTTTGGCCTGAATATGCATCGAAAGTGAATTATTCCCACTTCTCTCAATTTTTATATGAAGCGCGAACAGCGCCATCTCTGTGGAAAATGACCGGACGATATGATTAATTTGATATCCTCACGGATGATGAGAATGATTCATCGTTCAGTCAAAATTCCACTGCCTTAATGCCAAAAAGGAAAAGGTCCCCCCTATTGTGATAACCACTGCCGATTTCCATGCTCTTCGCACGGAACTTTTGAACTCCTTGAAATTCGAGTATTCACTTCAAAGTGGCCGTGGGGGTGAACCTTGGACGGATTCAAACGTCTTCTCAAGTATGTTACTGAGAAGCAGCACACAAAGAGGAGGAAATAGCTTATGAATACCTCATTCTGACCAGATACCAAAATTAGGTGTTGATCAGCATGACATAAGAGGTAAAATACCAAAGAATAATAATTAAAAATTGCATGCAAAATACTGTGTAAATAACAAAAAAATATATTTGGATACCAAAATAATACCTGTGTGGTATTGTTTTGGTATTGCATTTGCATAATTTGTTATTGAAATGGTATTGTGGGAACATTTTTTTTTGGTATTATATATTTGTATTTTACCTCATTAATTCCAATTTAAGCTATCGAGATACTCGTTCATGCTCGGGTTTCTACATGTTATAGCACACAACTTACCAATAACATAATAAATATTGATAGTCAAATAAGATATTATTTTGCTCTGGTTTTGTTATTCCCCTCTACCCGGGTTGCTCTCACCGTGAACGACGACGACGATATTCAAACGAGCGGGTGAAATATGTATCAACAACAACAACACATGCGTTAACAGCATTCCTTTCCTCATTGCTGCCGTTGGAGCAGCAGCTTATGTAACTCAATTAGTATGCCAGTTCTGTATTGAGCCGCTTAGCGAGTTCCAAGAATTAATCGATACGATTTTATTTCATTTTTCAGACAAGTGCTGGACCCCACCTCGGAGTCCGAGGTGCCTCCATCGCCGGCCGGTGAACCGATCCAGTCCAAGTTCTACTACGTCCCAGGGGATGTCGAAAGCTGCCTCGAGTGCAGTGCCGAGATCGGTAGTCCCGTCAAGGTGGACCTACTGGACGACGAAGATGATCTCGGTGACGACGGGATCGATGACGATCTGGAGGTGGACGAACTGGACGTGGTAGACGAGGATGGGTTCTACACCGAACGGTACGATACGGTCATGGAGGAGGACAGCATCGGAGGCGACGATCTTGTCTACAGCACTTACACAGGTGAGTGGGGTGGTCTTGGAATTGGAACAATCGTATCTCGTCTACTCGCCTGCAAATGGCTGTATGTGAATTACTTCCTTCTTTTTACCGGAGAAGTTATGCTCCACCGAAGGTAATAGTGCACATAAATAGGACCGAAAGAAACGAGACCGGCCCGTTTCAGCACGCTGGCAGGTTTCACAGTACAATTAGCATATTGAGGTAGTTGTTAGGTATGCAAAATAGAGTCGTTTTTTTTTTTCGTTTTCGACTTAATCGAATTGGGAGAAACCGACGTGGGACCGTCGTCGTCGTCGTCGTCGTAGAGCCATCAAGCGGAAAATATTACAAATAACTGTTTCCAGTAACACTTTTTTTCCAACTAGGCACACTTGTCCCGTCATCTTGGGTCTCGACGACGACGGTCGGAAGAAAAAACTGGATCGAGCTGCAATCAAGTCTCGGCTCGATTCGTTCAGCTGGCTGATAATGAACGTATGCCGGAGAGCCGAGGATGTGATTTGTTTTAAATTGTTCCGACGACCCGGTAGCAGATGTGGAAACTGTTACATCATTGGTTCATTTGACTATGTGGTAGAAAGCTGCGTGGTAGGATGGGTGTGGTTTCTTGATTAGCTTACTGAATTATTTTTTCTTTTCTTTCTAACCTTGACCCATTTCCGCGGGCAATTTAAAAGCTATTTTCCACACATTCATCAACCGACATTAGGACAGAATTTGAACCAAACAAACATGCCGAACAATTTCAATCATCTTGCCAATTTCCCTCGACAGACTCGTTGTACATACTGCTTATACCGACACGCACCGCTTCTTGCTGCGGGTAAGCAGCACATAAGTGCAATTATCTCAATTACACCTGTTAGCACCATGCCCGTGGCGCGCGCGTTGCCCGAGTAAAAATGTTACAGGAAGGTTTCTAAACTGACTGTAGATTTTTTTTTGCTTTATACAAATGCAATAAATGACCCGTTTCGATGGTAAATTTGTATTGTTTGTTCAACAATGTTGATTTTGCTCCACCAAGCTCAATCGATTCTCAATCAGGTCCGGATCATTCTCCCAAAATTTGAGCTCATTTGGTTGCGATCTCATACTGCACTGGCCCTTGTAAAAATGGGAAAATCACTATGGGAAAAGTGATTTTTTTTTGTTTTGCTCGTCCTAGCTTTTCGCTGGTTTACGTGTAAGCTTGCTATTTGTACTTATAGTAAATTTTCTAAACTATAACTTTGCTAAGAAAACAATTTTTGATTGAACGTCAAGATACTTAATTATTAATTTCTTGGGAAGATGCTATTCTTCTGACATGCAGGCAACATGCACTCACAGTGGTCCAGAAATGCAATCTAGCGGTACAAAATTAATAACTCCAAAAAGTACTTTGACTATATGTTTTAGCATTACTTCTGCGTGAAATCAACGATTTACATAGTTGAAGATGCTAATTTCAAATAACAGACTAAAGTGGTATTTTTTATACGACATATGAGGACATGAAAGTACATAATTGATTGTTCCGTTAGAGTACGGCAGTGTGAAAATTGCATATAGAGAGTAGAAAGCGAGCAAAGACAAGTTTAGGAAGGTACAAATCGGTTTTTGACCATCTCTCTTTTCAGAGTTGGTTGGAAATGCTAACATGAAGCTTTAGTTTGATGATTTATTAGCTAGAGAATGATCTTTAGAAGAGGGTAGGTGGATAGTTCCGTTAGAGTACGGCAGTATGAAAATTGAATAGAAGTTGAAAATGAGCGAAGGGCCATTAAAGCGACAGTTTTCAAGATAGACGCGCATTTTTGCCTAGCCCGTACGATGTACGCGGGGACTTGAAGTATGTCTCCAAGTCCACAGGCAAAAATGTGCGTCCCTCTTGTTGCTCATAAACTGACTGCGGCTGTGGAATAGTTCTAGCGACGTTTTCATCACTACCTAAAGCCCCACGTTGCGAGAGCATTTCCAGTCGATGGTGTGTTATAATGCAGTTCTTCTTTACCCAACTATTGTGTTGCTCCTCTCGTCATGACCAACGTGATCATCTCAGAGAGAAAGCAGTAGGGTGGTTGTTGCGTGCTGTACCATCATCAGCATTGTTGACGGCTACTACCGCCTTGAGTTGTTACATTCAAAGTGTTTTTTATGTTACTTCATACGCGAAGTTAACGATTTTCAGAGTTGGTTGGAAATGCTAACATGAAGCTTTAGTGTGATGATTTATTAGCTAGAGAATGATCTTTAGAAGAGGGTAGGTGGATAGTTCCGTTAGAGTACGGCAGTGGACTTGGAGACATACTTCAAGTCCCCGCGTACATCGTACGGGCTAGGCAAAAATGTGCGTCTATCTTGAAAACTGTCGCTTTAATGGCCCTTCGCTCATTTTCAACTTCTATTCAATTTTCATACTGCCGTACTCTAACGGAACTATCCACCTACCCTCTTCTAAAGATCATTCTCTAGCTAATAAATCATCACACTAAAGCTTCATGTTAGCATTTCCAACCAACTCTGAAAATCGTTAACTTCGCGTATGAAGTAACATAAAAAACACTTTGAATGTAACATCTCTCTTTACCAAACTCCCCGTCGGAGAGGGATGGTGAGGGGTATTCTTCAACTATCATCTTCAAGCAGCATCTTCAACTATCCAAAAAGTAATTTTAGTGACTTTGTGGCTTCGATATATTTTTTTTTTATAAAAAGCGTCATCTTTTGGTAAACGAATAATTGTACTAAACTTGTACTAAACTTGTACTAAACTGTCTATTTTATATATATCTTTTTAATAATTCATATTGTAGAGTTGGTGTCTCCGACAAAGCTGTTTATTAGTCAATAATACAAAATTCTTTCGAAGACGTCAACATCATAGCGGATTTTTGTATCATTAATCATACTTCAAATCTCCTTCTCCCTATCCACATCCATACAATTGTCATGCACAACTCTTGAGAAGACCGCGAGTTATTCGGTTGAATTCCTATAACTTTAGATTTAAGGCATTTATAATGTAGAACGGAAATAATAATTTGGCTCTGTTAAGTTTATTCGATTGAGCCTGTACAAATAAAGTAATTAAAAAAACGAGGTTACGACTCTACCTACAATGCAGGAAATATTGTGTTTTGCTGCGGCTAGCTGTGCGCACGCTGAGTAAATAGAATGAAGATTGATGACGATTCTGAAGATTTCCAGCAAAAAGATGTTGCGCGATGCAAGTAGATGCGAGAAATGCAAGAAGATTTTTCGAAAATTAATTAGTTAGTGTGAGATTTTTTGAGCAGATTTAGAATTGAGAGTTAGATGTGTCACCCCCGTCACGATTTTTAAACTCCACTATGTTTTAGTCAGAAAACGTAGCAGGTTTTATATTTTTTGCAAACGTAATACAACAAGATTTGAAACTTTTCCCACGACATCACCCTTTTTTGACGATAGTAGAAAAACCATTAAAGATAGTAATCAAAAACCATTCAATTTTACATATATTTCATACATTATATCTACGTAATCGCACAAAATAGTACCCTACAGATTTGGCAAAATCAGAAATCAATTGATATTTTTCCGCTCTCATGGGCTCGCAATATCACGCGTGATATTGGAACAAAATATCATGCTTGATATTGATTTTACAAGCTCCTTTGATATTGCGAGACTATTCACAACGTGCAAAAATCAAGTTGAGAAATTATTCCATTGCACATCGTTTGCTTAGAAAGAGAAAGCATAGTTTGCTATCTCTTTTTAATCTTCACCGATGGCAGACGTGAAGGGACTGCTGCAAGCCGTTATGGAAGTTTCGGTTGCATTCGGGTGTAAAGCAAAAATCATTAAACTCAATCTCACCACAGTTTGGTGAGATTTGCAGTTGGTGAGTTTTGTTAGCTTGATATTCCGAGCTGCGATATCACAGCTTGCTTGTTGATTTTTGTCTACGAAAATCAAGCGTGATCTTGGGCGTTGGTGAGATTTGATTTATTGATATTTTCCCAACACTGGTACCCTACAATGTTCAGGGCTGATAGCCTTCAATATTTAATATAGGGTAAATGGATGTTATGTCGGCCTAAATGCCCCTAATTTGGGCCCATACATAAATTCAGCAATCGACTAAATGTTCAATAGCAACCAAAAATATCCATTAGTACCGTCCCAATGACGCGTTTATCATGATAAATAGCAGATTTTTAGCAATGGGCCCAATCTTAGATCCATAGGCTAACATTAGAGCCATTTCCCATATAAAACTGATTTTTAAAACTGATATAGGGGAAATGGCTCTAATGTTGGCCTAACATTAGGCCCATCGCTAAAAATCTGCTATTTTTTATTTTTATCTAGATGTTTGTGTCATTAGGACGGTACTAATGGATATTTTTGGTCGCTATTGAAAATTTAGTCGATTGCTTAATTTATGTATGGGTCCAAATTAGGGGTATTTAGGCCGACATTACATACTTACAAGTCACTAGGGCCAGACTTTTTAAAATCCTTGATGATAGCCTTTGCTTACCTAAGCTTTTAACTCTAAAAGCTAGAAATTGTTCCCATTTAGTCATTTCTTGATCGATGTTGATAAAACAACTTCAAATCAATCGCCTTAGGCTAAAAGTCTCCTTAACCCTTCGTCAACGCCAAAAAAAAAAACTAACGTTGTCTGTTCCTTTGGGTAAATTTGACCTCAAATTAAAATTGTCATATCTCAACAAAGGTTCAACGGATTTTTGAAATTTCTAATGTAAATTTAACATAATTTCAGTTTGAATTTTCAAAGTTTATTAAAGGAGGCGGATATCTAGTAAATTCTGAACAACATTGCCCAAGATGGGAGCCTTATCTCTAGTTAAGATGTTAAGTTAGGGCAATCAATTCAAAATGAATGTTACACGAGCGTCAGCTGGTGAGTGAATTCTATGCCAATTTATTTACCACAAGATAGGTCTTGTCCGTCTAAACAATTTTGTTGAAACCGGAAACCTTCTAACTAGTCCATCTGAGGG